CTGTTCCAGTCCCGGTAGCTCCACTTCCCATCCAGCTCCCTGCTGTGGCCTGGGAAAGCAGGCAAGGACGGCCCAAAGCCTTGGGACCCTGCACCCATGGGAGACCCAGAGGTCTCCTAGCTTCGGATCAGTTCAGCTCCAGCCATTTCAGCCGCTTGAAGAGTGAACCAACAGATGGAAGATCTTCCTCTTTGTCTCTCTTCCTCTCTGTATATCCACCTTTCTAATAAAAATTAATCTTAAAAAAATTTTTTTTTATATATTTGAGAGGCGGAGTTACAGAGCAAGGGGGGGCAGAGGTTTCCCATGCACTGGTTTCTCCAGCTGGTCACGAAGGCTAAAGCTGGCCAGAGGGAAGCCCGGAGCTCCATTTGGGCCTCCCGTGTGGGTGCAGGGACGCAGGGACGCAGGGACTTGGACCATCTACTAGCAGGATCAGGACTGGAGCAGCCCTGTGGGAAGCTGGGAAGGGGGCAAGCGCACAACTCTTGTAGCCGTGCCGGAACGTTCTGGGAGTATTAGAGCTCCCACACTAAACAGGAACGGTGCCTCCAAAAACGGGTCCCACATTTCGAAAGAAAAGCCTAGCCTTTTGCTTCACACCCACCCTCTGCATTTCCTTCCAACTGCCAGGGAGCAAGGCCTAGTGACAGTGAACTGCCTGCCAAAACCACAGCAGACCCCACAGACCATCCCATTCCTCCACACTTCCACCCCTCTGAAAGGCCAGAGACCCCCAATCAAAGGCCTCACCCTGCATGGGCACCCTCTCTGGAGTGATCTATAATAAATTAGTTGGCTGTGTATTTGCTTCACACTGGCCTTTCTGTGCCTCTTTCCCAATATTTGGTGCTCCGTTTCTACACCTGTTCTAACAGCTGTCATTGCAGGAAATGGCTTAATCTGCTATGCCACAGTGCCAGCTCCCCATTTTTAAAAAAATGTATTTGAAAGGAAGAGAGAGAGGCGGAGGGACAGCGCTATCTCCTCTCCATTGATTCGCTCCTTACATGCTCAAGCCAGGGCTGGGCCAGGTTGGAGTCAGGAGTCTGGAACTCACTCCAGGTCTGCCCAGTACGTGAGGCAACCGCCACCTCCCGGAGGCCACATCAGCAGGAAGCTGAGATCGGGGCAGAGCTGGGGCTCGAACCCAGGCCCTCTGATAAGATAGGCTGACATCCTGAGCACCAAACACCGGCCACCAAATTGATCTTTTCATTCTGCCTTCTCACAAACTTCTGCACATGCCCTTGGGCTTGTGGTGTGGCCTGCTGCTCCCAAGACTGGTGAGAAAGCCCAAGAGCAGACGGCTCCACTGAGCAGGGTAACGGCGGGACTCAGAGTAAGCCAGCGACTCTGTGTGCTGCTGCTTTGTATGTGCAGTGAGCCCTCCTGCCGTAACAGTAAAGGCAAGGAAACCCTGCGTTAACACAGTCCCTTGTTCCCGTGACCGAGCGTGTGCTGGGGTCGGGCGTGGTGTGTCTGGGGCAGACAGCTTCACCGTACACGTGAGGACTGTATTGTCCTTTGCTGTTTGTTTTTGCTTTTAAGAGTTATTTTCATTATAAAGTCAGATATACAGAGAGGAAGATCTTCCATCCAATGGTTCACTCCACAAGTGGTCACAATGGCCAGGAGCCAGGAGCTTCTGCCAGGTCTCCCATGCAGGTGCAGGGTCCCAAAGCTTTGGTCTGTCCTCGGACTACTTTCCCAGGCCACAAGCAGGGAGCTGGATGGGAAACGGGGCCCGGTGTGTGCAAGGCGAGGACTTTAACCACTACGCTATGGCACCGGGCCCTGTCCTTTGATGTTCTAGCAGCCTCTGTGTCACCAAGGGAGAGGGATTTTCCAGCTGCAGTACTGCCTTATAAGACAATCATATACGAGGTGTGTCATTGACCGAAATACCAATTCAGCAAATATGTGTGTGTACATTTGAAACAGTTATTTTTTTTTAAGCTGGTGCCTGCATCTCATATGCATGCCAGTCCATGTCCTGGCTGTTCCATTTCCCATCCTTGCTCGTGGCCTGAGCACGGAGGACAGCCCAAAGCCTTGGGGACCTAATCCTGTGTGAGAGACCTGGAGGAGGCTCCTGGCCTCTGGCTTCCGGTTGGTGTAGCTCTGGCCGGTGCGGCCTTTTGGCGAGTGAACCAGTGAGTGGAAGATCTTTCTGTTTCTTCTCTCTGTAATTCTGCCTTTCAAATAAAAAAATAATAATAATCCTTAAAGAAAAAAAATTAGAAGGAAAGGGTAGGGCCAGTGTGGTTGTTCCAGGCTGATCCTGTGCCTGTAGCACCAGCATTCTGTACTGGGTCCTGTCCCGGCTTCTCTCCTGACCCAGCTCCCTGCCTGTTACCTGGGAAAGTAGCGAGGATGGAGTCCCTGGGCCCCCGCATCCAGGGGGAGACCTGGAGGAAGCTTCCGGCTCCGGCTTTGGACTGGCTCAGCTGCGGCCACTGGGAAAAGGAACAGTGGATGGAAGATCTCTTTACCTTGTAAATCTGCTTTTCAAACAAAAACAAATACATCTCTTTAAAAAGGGTTATCTTGAGCTTGGTATAGAATCCTAGTGGCGAAAGTCCTTGCCTTGCCAGGATCCCATATGGAGCCAGTTCGTGTCCTGGCTGCTCCACTTCCCTTCCAGTTCCGTGCTTGTGGCCTGGGAAAGCAGTTGAGGAATTTATTTTCATTGGAAAGTCAGATCCACAGAGTGAAGGAGAGACAGATTTCCATCAGCTGGTTCACTCCCTAAGTAACCATGGCCAGAGCTGAGCCGATCCGACGCCAGGAGCAAGACTCCTGTGGGTCTCCCACGCGGGTCCCAGGGTCCTGAGGCTTTGGACCATCCTCGACTTTTCCCACGCCATAGTCGGGGAGCTGTATGGAAAGTGGAGCAGTTGGGACACGAACCGGTGCCCATATGGGATCTGAGCATGCAAGGTGAGAACTTTGGCCACTAGGCTACTACACAGGGCCCAAAATAAATCTTTCATAAAACAACAGTGTTATCTTTTCAATGAATTGTTTCTAAGAACAGTTTTAGATTTTTAAAAATCTTTTCATATCAGAATAGTTTTATGTTCACCAAATGACAAATATGAAGCAGTACAAAAAGTTCCTATACACCCACACGCCACTTCCTCATTGTTAAATAGCAACATTTATTAATAAGCTTTATTTGTCACAATCTATAAGCCACACCTAACTTCCTCGATTAGTACATCTTGTATTAGTCGCGACTGATGGGCCACTCCCAGTTCCCTCACTTGATTCATCCCCTCTCTCCATCCTTCCTCGCCATCTCAGGCACCACTTGTCACCACTGAGCTTTCAAACTCAGCAGGTCTTCCACATGTCAGGGAGAATGCGAATATTTCTTTCTGTGTCCCATCCATTTTGTTGCAGACGACAGAGTTTATTCTGTCTTATGACAGAGTAGTATTCCAACACGTGTCTCTACCCCCGGATCTCATGAGGGACACCTCGGCTGGTTCCATATCACGACCCCCACACTCCGGCGTCCGTGCAGGGCCTTAACGCCTTGGTCTCTGCCGGCCTCGAGGGGCCCTGAATTAGGAGCTGTGCGTGTGAGCGCTTGTGTCCCCATGGAGCACTCCTGGGCGCTTCGGTCGTTCCAGGGTAGGCCCCAGTCCCTCATAGGTAAAGTGAGGGCATGGGGCAAGCTTTGCACGGGCAGCAGCCTGGGGGCAAGCTGGGTAAGGCTTCAGATGCCATCTCGGGTAAGCCCCCGTGGTGTCAGGAGGGCGGGTCCCCAAGCCGAAGGCCCTGGTCTCAGATGTGCCTCAACTCGGGCTGCAGTCCCATCCAGTCTTGCCCCCCACTCCCATCTGTGAGCCCCGTTTCCACCTCTGTGAAGTGGTGGCTGGTGGAGAGGCTTCCAAAGGCCCTTTCAACTGGGCACAGAAATGGCATTCTGCCTTGGGGGACGTGAGCTTCCTGTCTTCAGATCAGTGCCAGCCAGGGTGGGTACCCCTGCAGGGCACTACAGCAGGGACCAGCGACAATGCTGGGCTCTGAGTGTCTCCTCCTGGGGTGGGCAGTCTCTCTGCCCTCCAACTCTCTCACTGCTAACACAGGGGCTGGCACCTGTCGCCATGAAATGCCTCTGTCCTCCTTCCCAGCTCATGCCAGGATTGTCTTTGGCTGCAGGCTCAGGGAGGCCTGCCAAGTTTGCCACACCCTTGGGCTATGGACTTGGCAGCAGCAGGAGCCAGCCTGGGTTTGCCCCAGGTCTGAGGTGGCTGCCAGCAGGAATCAGGTCTTCTGGAACCCCCAGGACTGAGTCGGAAAAATCCGGAGGAGCAGGAGAAAGGGGGGTGACTATGCTGGGCACAGCCAGCCCTCCCCTGCGGTGGCTTTGCCCTCTGCTACTACAGCCCCTCCTCTATTCACTCAGCGGTCAAGGCCAAAACACCGAAGTCCCCTGTGTGGCCCCCAGCCGGCAGGACCAGCTATGGCAGCTTCCACTCTGAATCACGCCCCTACCTGCCTCCCCGCCAGACCTCTAGTTCCTGGAGATAGGGGGCGGGTCTGACTCACCTGGCGAGGGGTGTAGCAGAAAGTCTCAGCTCAGTGAGCCCGGGAGGGTGCAGGAAGCAGCCGCAGCGGGAGCCTGGCGCCCCATTTAACTCCTGGGCGCCCAGCTCCCTCCTGCCCGCCAGTCGCAGGCACGGCCATCCCTGCTCCAAAGTGGGAAGAAGGGGAAAGGGTCTCTGGTCTGGCGCAGCGCCGGGTCGGGACTTCGTGGATCACGCTCGGGGCGCAAGTCTCAGTTTTCCGTCTAGGCAGCCAGAGCCACCGCGACTGGATCCGGGGCTGGACGTTAGCCTGGTTCCCGCAGCCTCCACCGCAGGGCACCACGGCCCCGCCTCCGCTGGTGGCCTTGCCCCGCCCCGGGCACCTGAACTGGTCCCGGGCCGTCAGGGCACCGAGACAGGTGAAGCAGAACGGGGCCGAGCACCGCGCCCCGTGCCGCTCTCCGAGCCGCGCTCCCCCGCGCCACCATGGGCAACAGCGTGAGCCGCACCGACTTTGAGTGGGTCTACACCGACCAGCCGCACACGCAGAGGCGCAAGGAGATGTTGGGTGAGCGCAGGGAACGGGTGCCACCGGGGGTGGGGCATCCCAGGGCCGATCGGGATACCAGCCGGCGCCAGCGTTCCCGCACGGGGAGGGTGGAAAAGCCGCTGCCGCCCAGTCCACCCCAGGTCCCCAACTGGGCTCCGAGTTTCCCGCTGACGCCTCTGCCTTGGTCTTGGAAACCCCAGGACCCCGAGGACCCTAGCCTGGGTTCCCCGCCAGACAGAGGTCTCCGCGGCTCTGGACCGGAGGGAACACAATGGCGCAGGGTGGTCCCAGGGGACCCTGTCGTCATTACCGCTGACCGGCTGCGAGCCGTCCGTGGGCCACCTGCAGTGCGCCCTGGGACCCGCGGCGCCTCAGGTGTCACCCAACCCGCCGCGAGTGAGGGCGCTCAGGGCAGACCTGCGCTGGAGAGGCGGCGGGTGAGGACCCATACTGTCTTTGAAAAAAAAGTAGAGATTGCACCGAAACTGCTCCCCGCGGCCCGCCCCAGGGGACCGTGGAGCCTTGGAGCTGGCGGCTCTCTGGGTGATGGCCCACGCCTACGCAGGGCGCCATCCGCCCTGAGCGACTTCTGTCAAGGGGCTGGTAGGACTGGGGTCCCCTGCCACCCTCCCCAGCAGGCTATTCATACACAGTTTTCCCTACACCGGAACTGGGCACTTTTTAATCTTTCTTATGTTCTGCCAATCAGATGGGTAGAACAGTAGTAATTCGTGGTGGCATAAGGTGCGTTTATCTGGGGCTTGGTTTCAAAAATGGGCCATTTCTTTTCTCTTTCTCTTGGAATTGAGTTTCTGCTTAAAGTGTAAGGAGTCTGCACAGGTTATTAGCCCTCCATGCGTCCTAGCTGTTGCAGACATTGTAAATGTTTGTAGGTTGTCTTGCTATGGCGAAAGCGTTTGACATGGGTTTCTTTTTGATTTATTTGAGAAAGGAGAAAGAGAGAGATGCCAGGAGCAGGGGACTCCCCCAGGTCTCAGGGCCTGAGCCGTCACCCACCGCCTCCCAGGGAGTGGGTCAGCAAGCAGCCGTGGTCAGGAGCCAGGACCAGGCTTGGAGTGCTAGCAGCACAGCCACCACTCCAAATGCCTGTCCTCATTAAAAAGATTGTTTTCTACATGGTATGATTGATCTATGAGATGACATGGTATTAATTTGAACAGCAATAGCAGAGATGTAGACGCTTTGAACTGATTGGCCCTTCACTACCTTCTCCCCTTGCTGTCTTCCTGCCCCTGCCACACTCTGGAATCAGCGTCCTGTGACCTGCTGAGGTAGGAGCTCAGAGCCGGGAGGCCCCAGCATGGGCTTGAGGCTGCGTTTTGTTCGATTTGAAATCAAAAAGCTCAGACCTGGGTGGGCTTCTCCAGGAACTTGACAGTGAGCGGGGCACTCGTGGTGGTTTCCCAGTGTCCTCCTCACACCTGTGCACCGGCTGGCAGCAGCTGGAGGGGCTGGGCTTGGGCGTGAGCAGCTGCTCTCCCTGACAAGGGCGGGCATCTTAGCCACAGCCCTAGGCGGGGAGTAAGGGAGGAGCAGGAGAGGGCAGAGTGCTGCATCTGTGGGGCGTCCTGTCGGGGTGTGTGGCACCTCCAAGGCCGGCTGGGGCTGCACAGGGCCCTGCTGCTCTGTCCCCCAGCATGCGTCAGGCACCTGGCCCCATGCAGGAAAGGCCAGGAGCGGCCACTGGTACTCACAGGCCACAAACCAAGAGCTGGGAGCAATCCAGGCACCCAGGACTGCAACCTCAGTAGTCCAGTCTGCAGAATGGACACAGTCACACTGGCTGGCTGAGGGGGTGTGAAGGGAGGTCTCTGAAGGGAAGGTGTCCAGGGGCGCCTTGGCTGCCCCTCCCTAGACTTGCAGGGGAGGGAGGTGGTGGGCTGAGGACCCCCTGTCCAGAGTTTTGCTTTACCCCCTTTTCCAGAAGGGGCTTTTCTTCTCCCACCCATGTTTGAGTTCATGAACTTGGAATGTGGTGTTCGCTCCCTCCCAGGCATTTCTCTTGCTTGAATGTCCTGCTCCCTGCTCTGCCGGCCTCTCTGGTTTAGCCTTGCCTAGTACTGTTCAGGCCTTCTTTCTGCGGGAGGCCCCCCCGACTGTTCTTGGGGTGGAGGCGGGGGGCCCTGGCCAGCTGAGAGGGACCTCTCCTCCGGGGCTCAACTCTGTGGCCACAGCCCATCAAGCTGTGGTCACTCTGGGGGCAGAGGTCAGGAACTTAGCTGTCTCCTAGCGAGGACTACACGTAGGGCCATGGGCCAGTTGGTGAACAGTATAGGGTAAATGAGGCTGGGACAAGGTGGGTGGGTGGACCCCCGCACCTGCCGTGCAGGGGGGCGGGGGTGAGGTGCGTACCCTCTCTTGGTGAGGACGGCTGCCGGCGATGTGCCCCCAGCCAGGATGTCCCCCTCAGCAGAATGCGGTTCCCGGCCTGGGGAAGCCTGTACATGATCCTGTCTGTGTCTCCTGCTGGAGGAGGAAACAGAACAGAAGAGAGAGGAGAGGCAGCTGGCCTGGGGTCACAGGGAGGCGGGAGGGCACTCAGGCCACTGCTGCCCTGGCCTGCCCGGCTAAGGCAGCAGGCACTGCAGATGCTCCATGAAGATCTCAATCGCTGAGTCAGGGCCCAGGAAGTCCTTTCCAAGGTGCTCTGCAGATGGGGCCCAAGTCCACCTTCCTGCCTCTGGCCTGGGAAGGGGTTGGCTGCCCAGGGACTTCCCTCACAGCCCCCCAAGAACCACAGCTCCCAACTCGGGCCCGAGGCTGAGGGTGGCCTACCGTCAGTAAGCCACACCAGGTGTGGCTGTGGAAGCAGCCTTCGGATCTGTTTTGTTTGAAAACAAAGAGCTCTGCATTTTTTTTTAATTATGAAAACAAGACTCACAAGGTTTTTAAAAAATCAAATCAAAGAGAAACAAAACAAAAAAAAAACACAGGAAGTGGGACTTGGCAGTTGTGGGACTATTTGCTTTGCGACAGCCCTGGCTGGGACTCTGGGTGGCAAACAGTGAGATCCAGAAGGGAACTGGCTGAGGCTGCAGAGCTCACAGGGGCGGAAGGGCTCTGCAAGGTGGCTGCAAGGGCTCCTCCCGGCCTTGGAGCCTAGAGGCTGAGGCTGGCCCTGGTCAGGGGCCTGGGCTGGGCCCTGCTGTCACTAACCTGACTGCCCGCCCTGCTCATATCCTCCAGGGGCTCTGGCCCTAGCCTCTGCTCTGGTCTACCCGCCTCCCACGAACTCTGAGCCTGCCTTCTCTCCACATGGTCTTCAGCCAGATGGGCCATCATCTTCCCAGGGTCCCTCTGCACCGTGTGGCAAGAACGCTCTTCCCTTCCAAATCTGCTGGCTTTCTGAGCTTCCTGTAGGTTTCAACCTAAGTGCTGTGTCCCCAGAAGCCATCTGCAGCACACGCACACACACACACACACACACAAGTGCAGACCTGCTGATACGTGTGCAATAACTGCTACCCTGGAAGTAAGCCGTGATTTTATTCACAGCATGTACCGTTTCTGCCAATGTCTCCACCATGGTCAAGGGCGTGTGGCTGGCTGCAGGGTGCAGACACAGCCTCTGCCTGTCCCCGCCCCTCACCTTGCTCTGGAGGGTAAGCCCGTGCCTTTGTTCCCAGGTGTGATTCTGCCTTGGGTTGAGGGTGGTGCAGGAAGCGCCAACTCCCACTTCCCTTGAGTTTCCTTCGCCAGGGTAGGGACAGGCTCTTTACCCAGTGTGCCTGGCATAGCGTTGGCACCTTCCCAGCGCCATAGCCACCCTTCATCAAACGCCTGTCGGAGTCACAGCCCACGGCGCCTTCCTTCTGCTGCTGCAGGGCTGGGTGGACGGCCACCTGGGCCAGAGTCCTTCCACGCCTACCCACAGGGTTAGGGGGCCAGGGCAGGTGTGAATCTAGGGGACACAGACCAGACCACCTGATTGACCCTGTTCTTTAGCTTGCAGTCATTTCTCCTCTTCCTGCCCTGTGGACATTTCCCATTTCCGGTCTGCATTTCAGCCCAGTGAAGTCCAGCTGGCTGCAGTAAGGCCAGGCTTCCCGCTGGCAGCTGTGACCAAAGCGGCAGTGTCCCCTGAGGTCCCCTCCCCACCAAAGCCCTCGCTGCTGCCCTGGACCTGCTGGGTCCGGTCCCACTGTCCCCTCTGTAACACCCCTGTGTGTCCCCGGTAACTCCAACTTGTGTCGACTTTGTTTTTGTAACAGCTTTATTGCAGGATAATTGGCATGCCATAAAGTCTATCTGTCTGAGGGCACTTTCCGGAGAAGTTTTCTGACACAACTGTAGACTATTTTCATGGCTCCAGAAACTGGGACCTCTTCCAAGAGGTCCCCTTGTCCTTAGCCTGCAGGCGCCGTGTGGGCCCCAGCACTCCTCCCTGCTCTGCTCTGGGGCCTGCACCCTGCAGACCTTCGACACAGTTTTGTCACAGGATGAAAAGCAGGTTTGGCAATGGCAGTGACTAGCAAGGAGATAGGGTGAGGTGACTGGCTGTGAGAGGTACTTTGGGCCACTTTCCACATTTTCCATGTCATACCAGCTCACCTGAGAGCCTCTTGCTGACTGGACAGGGCTTGTCTTTGCCCATGGAGGTGGGGAGGTGGAAGTTTTGAGCTGGAGGTGGAGCTGGCAGGAAGGCGGAGTAAGTAGGTTTGGTGCCTTTGGGAGGAGCGACTGGTCAGGGGTCAAGGCCTGCAGCCAGGGGGGGGCAAGGAGGACAAGCAGCCACAGGCCGCTGTCTCAGCACTTCCCACCCTGACCGCCAGGGGGTGCTATCAATGTTGAGCAGCTTTGTGGCAGGGGCTGGGATGTCAGAGCTTGGAAGGGCGTTTAGATGGATACTAAGACCATCGACTCTGGGCCAGGGACTCCTTCTTGGGATGATATTTGGCCTTCTTGGGAAAGTGACAGGAGCATCCAGTCCTAATGCTGGTCAGGGCCAGGGTCTGGAAGCCAACAGGGGACAGAGGGAGTCCTATGTTGTCAACAGG